AAAAAAAAAGATGAATAAAACACCAATAATACAATAATAACACATCTAAACTATGTCATGGAGGTTTCTGTGAGTCCAAAGAATTTGGTTTTATGCAGTTGTCGAGTAGGGTTTTTCTCTGCTGATGATTGAAATCCATGATGTGTTATTCATGTGGTATTGCCGTGTTATTGTTGTGTTTTTTATATTTTACTGGTATATTACTGATGTGTGGTGCTATTGACGTGTTACTACAGTGCATTGTTGTGTTACTGATGTGTTACTCGTATTTCCCGACTCTGGTTTACGTTCATACCGTGATTTTATGGAACGAGACGACGCCATGACCTTCGCTTACGCCGGAAGCTCCGCTTTGCCGAAGGGTTTCGCCGGAAGCTGCGTTGCGCCGGAGATTTTCGCCGAGTTGTGCCGGAGATTTTCGCCGAGGAAGAAGTTGGCCCTAAAATCTCGTAAATCAGTAGAAGTTAAAATGTGATTCGGTAAAAGATAAAAAAAGGTTCGGATAATCGTTCGGGCCGGGCCTAATATTTATTTTAATTTTATTTTAAAAAATGAAGTGAAAAATGGGACCGTGATTTATAGGTGCCGCACTTTTATTGGCTACGCACCGTGCGCAGTACTGAGGGAATATTTCTTCCGCCTGCTCGCCTGCTTCCCGAACTCCCATCCTTCTTCCCGAAGTCTGCTGCCTCCCCCCGTCCAAAATCCTCGCGTGCTCCCTGGCTCCTCTAATCCCGACACCTCTTCTTCTCCCTACGGCTCGACTCGCACACTCCCTGCCTCCCAACGCCTCTTCTTCTCCCTTAATCCCATTTCGCAAGTAAGTTGTCGAACTCCTCCCCTCAGATCCGCCTCCTCATGGATGTTACTTATTGCAAGGATTCACAGCAGCCCATCCTCATTTCATAACTTTAATTTCCCCGCATTTGCTCCCATTCTTACTCCCTCTTCCGAGCACCAAGTCGAGTTGTCAATTATTTCTTTGAATGTTTTTGCTATTTAGATTTGGGATGTACATTAGACTGATTATGTTGTGGCGCTTTATTTTTACTGCACTTAGATGTATTCCAGATTTGGCATGTACATTGGACTGCTTTATGTTGTGGCATTTACATTTCAACTTTTTCTCTGCTTTACTTTATAAATCACTATCACACTTAGTTTGGCTGCACCTATCTAGTTACTTCTCAAAATTTTAATGACATGAGTTCTTAAGGGTTTTTAACGGATTGTGATTTCTCTTTATGGCTTTTGCAGTTCTTCATGGCATGTGTACCATTCCCATCTTCTAAACCTAGAAATTGAATCTATTTTTGTGAGTATAACTGAAAGTTCTCATATGAATGTTGAAGCTATTCCTTTGATAACTTGCCTAAAGTTGAATTTGAATACAAACGGGAAACTCATACAGCTATTGGAGTTGTAGTAATGGAAGAACCATCAATGGGAATCGACGCTGAGACGTGTTGAGCAGAAAGAAAATAGCCAGATTTGTTTAACAACACTCCAAATGATGATTGGGTACAACCACATAGAGAGCATGAATGATAGGCCCTCATGACCACTTCTTATATGTCATGTATAGGAAAAATTGTAGTTTAGGTGACATGTATGCAAATGTCAATACTCTTGTGCTATTATTATGCATGAAAATTTGTTTTAAGCCTTTTTTACATATTTTTATATATATTCTTGGATACATACCATTTATTTTCTATTTCTTTTGTTAATTATAACAAGATATAGAAAATATGAGCTGAGACCATTCGTCAACTTTCCAAAGAATGGGTAATCGAAGAGTTTACTTTAACTGTAACTTACTGTGTGCAGTGTATACTTCCTACAAAGATAGAAGTTATGAGAGAAAATTCTATTATTGTATACTAAATCAATCGGACAATGATTGCAAATATTTCAAGCGACAGATTTTAAATTTGTTGACGGTGATGCTGAAAGGTTAGCAATGGATGGCATGATGAAGAAGAACTTTGAAGATATCAAATATCTTATCATGCTGTTGATTTCAATCAATGTTGTAAATATAGTTATTATGTTATTATCAAGGGAAAAACATTTTTATTATTAAAGGCGATAATGAGTTGTGAAGTTGTCCAAGTATTTTGAAGCATGAACTTTTGTAAAATTAATTATGTAGTATTGTAGTGCTAAGTCTTCGATTGTTTTAGTTAGCTTCCTTAAGGCATGCTTGTACTTGAAAAACCCTCTGTAGTATTTTCAATAGATATGTGATTGAGTTAATTTTGGGTATATTTCACACAGTTTAATCCTCTTTTGACATACTTGGTGATATAATTGTGATGGAGATGAAATAAGTATGGAGAATGCATTCTTTATCTTGGGCACGATAATTCTTGAGGGTTGTATATGAGCTTCTATTGATTTTTAATAAATAGAGATTACATCTAAATTTTTCCAAACGCTATTCTATTACTGATATTACATCTCATTTCTTTCATATTATCCAATTCCTTTTAATACCTTTTTTGCAATCTTAATGGTACTAAATACATTTACACACACATTTATATAAAAGCAATTGGGAGAATGTGCTCCCCGCTTGGCTTATGAAAGTTAAGTAGCAAGATTTTGGTAACAACCTGAATGGATTCAGTTGCAAGGATGATTGCAAATCTTATTAGATGATGTATATTGAAAAAGTGATAGTGAAACACTCAATAATATTGTGTTTTGGACTTTTCCAATATGATTTATTTTGTTTCCACAACCATGCTAAGCATTGCATTTGAAGCTGGAACAAGTTGTGAAGAACGGTAGTTCCTCAAGATTTTGTCACCTTTTACTCTATTCTTGAACTTCCTCCATCTTATCTCTGTTACATTGATGTATCATCTGATAAACAAAGCAGAAGTTTTGTTGTATTTTATTTCTCAAGTTTTTGAGGAATCTTTTGTCATTCACTTGTGTGTAAAGAGATGAACTGCGGTAGATGCTTGCATAATCTATTTGAAGATTATAATCAATGGTCCTTGACAATTTTTTAAAAACGAGGTAGCAGGGGTCCACTGTATATTAGCTTTCCACCGCTTTTCATTAAATATAACTGCATGATGAAGTTTGAATTAAAATTGTGTCATGTGCTAATCTTCCTCCAAAAATTTAACCAGTTGCCATGAGAAGAGTTGGGAAGTTCAAGGAATGCTTAGTGATCTATTGACGCTTTAATTTGTAAATTGTGAATGACTCACAATGGTATTGAAATGCTAGAAAGAAGTTTCCATTTTCCTTTGTTTTTATTTTTCCATTAATAATAGGAAAAATAGCAGTCCACCCAGGCTAATTTAAACCTTTGGCTGGCCAGTTGAACCATAAAGGGGTTTTAACATGTATACCACTCAATTCTTTATGACAAACCAATGTAACACATAAATCTTGATATTTACCTCTATATCACTCAAGATTTTTTTTGTTACATAGATAAATCATAAGGAATTGAGTGGTATACACGTAAAAACATCAATATAAAAATGTTCCTCTCAAAAAAAAAAAATCTTCAAAATTTAGCCATCGCATGCTCTTTTTATGCAAACTTCTGCACAGGTTAAAATAAACATAGTTTTCTGCTCGTTGAGGAAAGTAGAAAAACCATGATAAATCATAAACTTTGTGCATTAGCTTTCAAGATGTATTTTGAAGGCAATGCGCTTTCCTTCCCCTTTGAATCTCCATGCTAATGAAACAGAGCAAAACTTCAACCCCACACCGGAGAAGAAGCAAATTCTAGAGTAAGAAAGATGTTGTCAATTAACAAACTCAAAACATTGGAACAAAAAAATATAATTTCTTGTATAACACCATATCTATTACAACAAATGAGTTTATATTGTACTATATCTAATACAAAAAATGACAAATTCTCTTCAAATCTAATCGATCAATTTGAAAAGTTTAGCAACTCTCCATATCTTGTCCCCTAGACATAATATTTGAATTTGGGAGATTTTTGCATGTTTTCATGTGATGACCATCTAGTACACATCGACTACACTTATGAACTTGTGATAATAGTTTTTGTTGGGTCTCCATAAAACTCTTAAATCTGTTCCTTCTTGGTCGGCCCCTTGGCCTCATTATCTTTGGCACACCATTTACAAATGTCTCAGAAAATGCATTCCATTGTTCGTTTCCCTTGAATAGTTGATATAGCACCTTTGTAAGCAAACCTATATCTGTAATAAATACAAAAATATTAGAAGTGCTGCAAGAATAATTTCTAGATGAGTAAATATATGTTAATATGCATTGCAAGTGATAATACTTTGTAACATAGTAATGATCATTCACATATATGCTCCATTGTTCCTATAAAAGCAGTTGCATGAACACATAGTAATCCGGTCATTTGCCATATTATACAACTAAATTCTCTAGACCCAACATTCACTTCAAATCTTCCATGTGTGCATCCTACCTGGGCCGCATTGCTTGTTGATTTTCTTATACAGAGTTGTTCGTTTTTAGTGGTTTTTTCTCTTATTTACTCTTCAGCAAAGGGAACTAGACCTCCCCTCCATAAAGCTGTTTAATTTTTTTCTACTCTTTTCTCCATTAGCATGCTTCTAATCATATATATCAAATCAACCACTGTGTTTGTTTGGTCCTCACCAATCGAAGAATTGAATGATTCTGCCATATTATTTGTTATGTAATGATTTTTTTTCTTCGACAAAAATTGGCATCGCAACCATTTATATGGCAAATTGATCATATAAGAATGCAAAAGTAGCCTGAGATTCGATAACTCATTCATTTTAGCTTCAAACTTATACCTTCTATAAGCATTTGCAGCTAACCACACAATGTTCTGAATCCTGCTACTATCTTCACAACGATGATACTTCTTAATATTTTTCCATAGGTGATGAAAGCAAACTCTATGTTCAGGAAAATATTTCTAATAGCTTGCCCCAAACCTTTCTCCATGTCAGACATAAAAGCTAAAGAAGTACTATGAAGAATAAATGCCAAAACTAATTGCTCCAAGAACCATTGCCAAGTTCTTTTCGATTCACCTTCAACAATTTCAAATGCTACAGCAAACAAACCATTATTGTATCCAAAGAATTAGTGGATAATAAGGCACTCAAATACTTCAACTTCAAAAGACATGCATCAAGTCCAATCATGGGTCTGCAACAGATAAACCCATCAACATATACCTTGAAACTCACAAAAAATCATTTAAGGGATTTGTTTTCATCATCATGGGTAAATTTTATGTGTGATTCAGGATTCCTAACAAGCAGCTCCGACTTATCTCCGACTTCAATGCAGGCATCCACTTATAGCTCTCATCTATAGAGCTAAAAATTTGATCACAAGATACTCTCTTGATCTCCATAGTTTCATATACGATAAAGATAGCACATCTGCTTGCTCTAAGCTATTTTTAATTTGTTTTGGTGAGATATCTTGTTCTTCCTTAACAATAACTTGAATCTCATTAGCAACCCACTCACATGTAGCCTGTTTATTCCAAATCCAAATTAACACCTAAACAAGTGTACAAAACTTCAAATTTTCTAACTTCAAATGTTTGACCATCTATACATAATGTAGCCCTGATTCTCCATGGACACCCTCTTTGTGAGCTAGTCGCTATAACCTGTGTCTTATCACTTGCAGTAGTCTTAATTCCAAAATTCTCTTTCATAGCCTTGAATCTTACAAAATGCTTGAATTCGCCGAGTCAATAAAATGACTACCAATAGTTACAGATTTAACATCCACAATATTACTATCAAATGACACAATATTTTATGAACCAAATTCAAACAAACTACTATGAACACCTTCACAAAATGACCCATGATTCTCTGGAATGTGACCTTGAATTTTTATTACAACTGAATCACTTTGAATCTCTTGAACATCTTATATAGCAATTACAATCTCAACATGTCCAGAGTCACTTGAAAAGTTGACCATTTCAACCAAGTCATGTTCAGATGTGATGAGCTTATATTCTTTAGGATAAGTGTCATAAATGTAGTGGTATAGCTCATAAGTAGACCCTAGTAGCAAAGTGCAAACCATCTCGACCTCCTTTAAAAGCTCATCAAAGACAAGCAACTCTTTGTTCATTTTAATTGTCTTTTGTTTTACCCCATTAGATTTTCTTTGGCTCGCGTTTTTAACATTACTCCAAAAACCACAAAATTGAAGGTGCGATGAATCCATTTGTTCATATCATTCATCCCTAATCATATTTCAAGACAAGTAATAATGGAATATAATCATAGAAAAATTATGAACTTTTGTTTAAAATAGCCCACTTTTGAATAAGAAACTATATTGCTCTGAAAAAAATCTTAAAGATAAGGAAGAAAAGCTGAAAAGCAAGAAGCAGCTACAAAAAATAATTTTGTGACAATAAACCAGCAATTGAAATGAGACAAAATTCTTTCTTTCATTGGAACAATCAATAATGTTGAAGTCCAACTCAACCAGACCAAGGATGAAGAACAATTTCAAAAGTATACACTTAAAAACCCCTTTTATTTTTTATAACTCCACCATGTCATAAGTTCTTCTAAAACACAAATAAGATGCAATAAATCATATAATTAGTGAAAAACTATATGGCAATCACCAAATCCAAATAAAAAGGGTGATCAAAGTTTGTATTGCATTTAATAATAAAATGACAGCAAGCAGAAATCTAACTATTATTTAGGGAGGACATTAACTGCCTTTAAGAACACAAAACTGAATTAAGGACAAATTATATTGCAGAATTTATGTAGTTCCGAAACCGAATTAAAATTGCAACATATGATCATGATGGTGAAAGTAACGTCCATGAATCATGCTTGACTCATCATTTTCCATTCGTTTAAGTAACAAAAAGCAAGTCAAAATTAGACCAGCTTTTTGTAGAAATTATATCTTCAACATTAATCTAACTAGTATATTGTTCAAGTGGGTATGGAATTAAAGAAGCAAAAGAGCAGAACAATCTTCGAAGAAAATCTAAAGCTTGCCTTCTTCATTCTAGAAACCAAAATATGACAACCGTGGGAGAAAAAAAAATATCATAATCAGGAATACATCTAAGTGCAGCAAAGTAAAGAGCCACAACATAAGCAGTCCAATGTACCTGCTAAATTTGAATTGTAAAAATATTCAAAGAAACAATTAACAGCTCGATTTGGTGCTCAGATGAGGAAGGGAGTGAACAATGCGAGCAAATATGGGGAAATTAAAGTTGCAAAATGAGGATGGACTATTGTGAAGCCTTGCCCTAAGTAACGTCCATGAGGAGGCAGATCTGAGGGGAAGAGTTCGATTACTTACTTGCTAAGTGAAATTAGAGAAGAAGAAGCGGCGTCGGTAGGCAAAGAGCACGCGAGCCGAATTATAGAGAGAAGAAGAGGCGTCTGGTTTAGAGGAGGCAGGGAACACACGAGGGTTTTGGACAGGGGTAGGCAGCGGACTTCGGGGAGAAGGATGGGATTGCGGGGGGGCAGACGAGCACGCGAGGGTTTTGGATCAAGAGGAGCGAGGACTCGACGGAAATGGTAGGAATGTCTAACGCGAAAGATTTAAGTGGTATACATGTAAATATCAAGATTTTTGTGTGTTACAAAGGTAAATCATAAAAAAATTGAGTGTTATACAATTAAATATTACTTAAATTATATTAAAGTTATTTAATATTATTAAAGCATTAATGTAATTCAAAACCAAATCGTTTAATTACAAGCCTCAGATTCTTCAACCCTAAATCCTTCTAAAACCTCATAATTGGGTACGGAATAATCAATTGAAAAATCAACAAAATCCTATTGAGCCAAAGTGGAGCCCATAACAGTCACATCAATCAACCGTATGAAACAGTATTGACATCTCTTTGTTGCGTATGGGCAAATATTACCTTCTCCCATCTCGCATTTTCACCCTAATTCACCCACGATCTATTCCCCAGTCACAACCTAAAGAGTTGTCTAAGCGGAGAAACTATTACGTTCGGCGTAGGTCCGAACAAACGGAAGCAAGCTCCATTTCCGTCCTGCAGTATCACGTCCTATTTTTTCATGCAAACGTCCCACATGCCCCATATCAGTGGAGAAATATTTGTGTACGTTTAATATATGCAGAGTTGCGTACATTGGTATGTTACAAGGAAGGTATTGGGGGGTTACATCCGCATTATACTCCTTGTAACCTCGCTGTAACCTACCTGTAACTAGTAAGTTTTGTGCTTTTGTTTTTATATATTGTATGTTACAGATTAGTTACAGGTAGTTTAAAGAAAAGTTAGAGAGGGTATAAAACAAATCTAACTCTTATCTTTCATATAATCTACCGACACACGCAGCTCTAACGCACCTTAAAGGAAGGCAAATATTTCTCCCATCAGTGGGCAGCATCCACGCAACACACGGTAAATGCTAGACAAGTAAAACTCGTCCATTTATTAAGACTGCCCGAGTCCTAACGCGTTTCCCCTATCAGTGGGCAGCATCTACGCAACCGAGAAGGAGAAATTTAGACAGACAGCTCAAACAGACGGCTGTGGAGAAAGGGGATCTCAATCCAGCCATGGAAGATGCATATCTGTTTGACGAGCAGCGGCTGTGGAAATGTCCGAAACACCCGCTCAAGCATCGCCATGGCGTCTGCCCTAACTGCCTTCGCGATCGCCTCCTCCTACTCTGTCCTGATTGCGCCAATCCTCGTCCATGCGGGTGCCTTCCATCCTCTTCTTCCTCCTTCTCCTCCATCTCCTCAATGGACCCCCCGAGATCCAGCTTTGGTGCCTTTGGTCGCATCGGAAACCTGATCGACGGCGAGCCAGCCTTCCGACGTTCTAGATCCGCCGCATTTGTTTTTCTAAGACCTAGATCGGATGTGGCCGATGAAGAAGTGAGGCGAAGAGTACGGCGTTGGGCTCCCTTCTGGCATTTCTGGAAAGCTGCTATCCGGGGAAAGAAGGAGGTAGAGGCGCCGGAAAGGTTTCTAAGATCGAGATCGGTGGCTGTGACGAATTCGAAGTTTGGCGGTGTCCGGGAGGAGAAGGCAGGGCTAAGGGATGGAATTGGCCCTTTCCAAGCCCAACTAAGGTTTTTCGACACCGCAAATCGGCTAATGTAGTTCAGGAGCGATCCTTTTTCTACAGGGTATGATCCGAAGAAGAAAAGTATCTTTGTGACGAGTTTTTCAAGCTTTTTTTTTTTTTCCTTAGGATTTTAGGGAAAAAATTTGCGTACGTTTTAGAGATTATACAGAGGATATAAGAGGTATAACGCGAATATAACTTTCTTATATCTATTGTATAACTTATAAGAGGTATAACGCGAATATAACTTTCTTATATCTATTATATAACCTGCAAAACATATACAGCGCTGCGTATATCTTCCGTACACAAATATTTTCCGGATTTTAGATTTCTTGGAAAAGCTTACATCATCTTATTATGTACAGAAAATAATGTTTATTCGTGTTATGAATTTAGAATTTAGTTTTGTAACTAGTCATATTTGTTTAACTGTCGTCAAAGATTTTTATTTTTAATATTATATATATAAGGTTGTTGTGAAGTTTTCAACTGTAAGGGATAAAAAGTGTCAATTTTTTCTTTTAAAAAGTATATAATATAAATATCAGTGATAAAGATTTTAATTTCTCTGACATCCCTTTCTTAATCAAGGCTAAGTGGTGTTTTGAATTTTTTTTTTATTTGTTATTTTACATGTCAACTTCGCATTTTTATGTGCCTACAGCTTTTATATATAATTTTTTTTTTATATTTTTTGCATTGATATCACATTTTTTAGTAGGCTGTTGTCAAGATTTTTGGAATGAACCACAATTATATCCAATTTGTGGATGGAATTTTTGGCCAACCTCCTTGTGCACAATTGAAAGAAAGTTTTAGTTAGTAAGATGAGAATGCCACGGTGGATGAGTGGTTTCATGCTTAGAGACAAAATGTAAAATGAATCTATCTGTGAAAGGGTTGGTGTATCTCCAGTTGCATACATGATTAGAGAGAGAGTCGTCTTAGATGGTTTGGTCATGTGAATTCAAATCTGTCCGGGAGACATGCCTAACGAATAGAGTGCGAAAGGGAGAAGAAGAGTAGAGAGAGCATAGAAATGAAGAGTAGAATGATATAATATTTATTCATGAAATGAGTCCCTATTTATAGGAATGAGAGATGTAAGATTACATTCTATACCCTTAGTAAAATAGGTACAGCGGAAGATATTTTGCTCAATACATAGTTATAGGGTCGGGTGATTGAAGTAGCATCCAGCCAAATGTGGTCAAGAGCCTGGGATGACACCCGACCAGATTTTGGGTCGGGCGGCCTTGCTCCGGGAGCCTAAGGAATGACTGGTTGGGTCATATTTCGGGCGGTTATGAATGAAGGGTGGATCAGGAGGCTCCGACCGACCACTTCAAATTTTGAGGGTTTTTATCATTTGCCCAGCATTGTTGAGAAACACGGACAAAGTCTTCTGCATAAGGTTTGTACTTGTAATATGTTGGGAGGATGACCAAATTATGTCCGTCTCAGAACTATTTTTCTCCCAACCAACAGGTGTCGGCATGATGATATGGGCAGTTAAACTGTCCTTAGTAGGTTTTGGACCACCACATCATCTTCTTTGTCTGTTGATAGATCGCTTTGAGATTCTTGTTCACATTTTTTATGTACATATTTAATTACATTGATTCTCTTGCTCTTTGATGGTGACAACACTGATAAGGACAAGATAATCTTAATTCTCGTAAAGCTGTTGGTTTTCTATTAAATGCGCAACTATTAAACACTTATAGAATTCTGTGTGAAGACCCCTATAAATCGGGAAGAGTTGAAGAAAAATTATAGCTTTTCTTAGCTTTCTTTGAGCGAGTCATCTTTTCTTATCTATCGTTGGTGGTTGTTGCGTAGAAAAGAGTGTTTAATTTCCTTCATGTTTTGCACATGTCTATAGATGAAATCACACTTTAAAGAAATGTATTTTTATGTTTTCTTGCAGATACAACACGGATTAGGAGTGGAGCAAACTAGATAAGAAATGGAGCAAAGTGGATGTAACTTGGAGCTATGGAGGACACTGAAGACCAGATTTCTCCGGCGTTGAATTTCTCCGGCACATAAGAGCTAGTCCCAAGCTAGGAACCCGAGAGACTGGCGCTTAAACGCCAGCCAGTGGGCGTCAAGGCACCACTACCCCAGCGCTTTGGCGCCAGATTTTTGTGCACCTAGGCGCCCCAACCAAAACTGGCAGACAAAGAGTATGGCGCCTAGGCGAGGCACCTAAGCGCCATTAGCTGTCTCGATAGTTTTTCAACAGTTTCACTACACAATGTGGGGGTTATTCACCCCGATAAATGAGTTATTTGGTGAAGAAGATGTGGTCTTTGGTCAGTCCTTTGGTAAAGGAGAAGTAGGGTTTGTTGTAGGAGAATATAGGATAGGATTTCTTGAGTGAGGAATTTGACTTGAATTATAAGAAGAGTGTTCAGATTAGCAGCAAGACAGAAGGAAATCCTTGAGGAGCATTCTCAAAGCTTTGTAATGAGTGCAAAAGCTAAGTATTGTGCACTCTTATATTTGTTTTTTAGTAAACACAATTCTATAGTAGATTTACTTATTTTCAAAGATTTTTTGTGGTGCTTTTTCAATGCTTTATGTGTAGACTTTTTACCTTTCCCTTGTGTTGATTAAGTAGGTAGTGTATGATTGAAGGAATGCTTTTAATGTGATGAGTAACCTTCAGTTCTTCATTTACTTTCATTCTCGTCAAGTGATTAGTTAAAATGTGTTGTAACACATAATGACTCGGGAGAGTTATGGAAGAACAACTAGGTTGGTCACATTGAATTATAGCGTATGGAGCAAGTGCACTACAGAGAGATGTAAATGTTAGGGAAATAATCTTTGTTGGGTTCAAATTGGGATTAAATGAACTATAACCAGTTTAACCAAACTTCTTTATGCACTTAAGATAGGGAAAAGATAAAGAGTGATCCAACTGTCCTCACTTTTGTGAGGATCTCTTTTTCTATTTGTAGAAGCATAGGATTTAGCCTTAGTGTTTCTTAGTGACCTTTTTAGATGACTAGAGATAGGAATCACCCACATAAGGCTTCTAACCAATTCTACAATCACTTAGGGCTTCATCTGGATAGACCCAAATACTAAACTATTCATTGAGATGATAAGGGCTAAAATTAGTAGAAGCACAAGATGAATTTCAATAGGTAGAAGATACCTTAGGCAACTTAAAGTTAGCCTAGATTCCTAAGAATCCCTATGACGGCCTGCTGACCACACCAACACCCTCTTTGATCTAGAAGAAGCCCATTGAGCATGAGGCAAGTTCTAGGTTAGAGAAGGGTTCACCCTTTAATTTTCATGACCTTAAGCTAAAATCATAGACATCAAAATTTAAATAAAGGGGAGGGGTGACTCACCAAATTCAAACATTGCTCTCACCTAATGATTTTGTTTTCCTAACACCAACACAACTTAAAATTGACAAACACCCTAAACACATTAAATTAACGTTAAAACTTAAAAACACCAAAATTCCCCAAATTATCAAATTAATTAATAAATGGTTGAGATTATTGATCCTGATGTTCTATATAGATGTTAAATATGATGTATGTTATTATATGCTTAATTTCCTTAATAATGATTCTTATTTTGTAACAAAGCCAAAACTTGATCCCAAGCAAAAGCTAGGTAAATTTTCATTATGAAGCAAATAAGAATAAAGTTATAATATTTAATTATGGGATACTACGCAAGTATATGTATCGTTATTAAGTAATATAGCACTTTTTGATTAAGCCCCGAATATCAAACCCATAAGGATAAATACAATATGCAACTTTACAAAACAAAAGAAATTAGATAAGAAAATTCTATTTAGCAAAATATTTTACTTAAATTATGGATATTAAAATAGGAATGAAAGTTTGATTTTTTTTTTTTTGTAAATTTTTTTATAATTGAAAATAAAGTAAGCAACTAAATAACTTAACTAAATGCTTCCAAGATGAAGGCAATATAAATAAAATATATTTTTTTCTTATCATGAATCAGTAACAGTATAGAATTTATGTTGTGGAAGTATTCTAATTGTGTTGTGTCAAATGGGAGCAATCATATTATTTACCCTTACTAGAGATGCTATAAAGAACATTGGCTAATCTATAGTTTGAATAGTCCTGAAGACCGGTTAGTTAGGGAAAATACTAGCTCTCACTCTAGAGTTCCCTCTTCTCCCTTCACCTAGGGGCCAATATCTCGTATCAGAACCTAACACTATAGATCAAATTGAGGGCTTTAGTCTGTCACTCTAAAGTTATCTAATTCTACAACCTTCAAAATTTATTTTCGTATTTATTTGAATTCAACCCCAATAACTACATTCTCACCTATGAAATCAAATGTGATTCTTACCATTTGTTGACTTAGACAATATCATCTCGGATTTTACATATTCTCACAATAGGTATTAACATTTAATTGGTCAAATCAAGAAGTAAATGAAGTATAAGATTTAAAATCCTCATAACATCTATCAACATTAAAGTTTAATATTTCACACAACTTCCTTTCAATACTTAATTACTTATCATTTTAAGGAAAAAGATAAAGAAAACTACTCAGAATTCATGGTGGAAAACACAATCACACTTGAGTTTAAAAGTAGAAATTATGCACAAAAACTAGAAGTCTAAATTAAAATCAAATGTAGTCACAAAGATAAACACTTATCTCAAATCCTCTCCACCAAATGTCCTGAAGTTCCTTTGGATTCTCTTCCTTCACTCAAACTACAAACTAAAACTCAAAATAAAAAGAAAAGGTGGTCGGCGGCGGCGGTGACAGCGACGACGATTACTTGGAATGGATGGATGATTGGTTGTTGGCTGGGGGGGGTGCGCCTCTTCCTTTGAAGATCCAAGTCTTCTTTAATAAAAATCAAAGGGGTGTCTTGGTGTATCTTCAAAACATGTCTTCATTCAATGAATCTTCTAGAAGTTGCCTCCTTTTAAAAGCCAATTGAATGAATTTTCGTGTCCATGAACTATTTCTCCTGTTTTTAGTAAGGGTTGCTTCAAACACCTCTTAAAAAATTTGTCCAAATTCAATGAATCATGAAATGACTACTTCTGACACTTAAGCGCGGGGTACCCGGCGCTTAGGCGTGGCGCTCTCTGTATAACTGGCGCGTAAATGCCAATCCTGGGAGCTTAGGCGCCTCAGTTCATTTTTGCACCTTTTTTTATTTTTGCTCCAAATTTGATCCTTTTTCACCCCTTTTACTATTTTCCATCCATTTGATTGTATCTGAAAAAAACACATAAATATCTTTCATTAAATCGCAATATTTCAGAAATAGGCATAAAAATATATACAAAAAGATCATATATTTTAGGTGTATCAAAATCCCTCAAACTTAAAGTGTTACTTGTCCTCAAGTGACACTTCAATCTTTTAAAAACTAAATAAATAGATTATATATATGAGTTTCTTTAGAAGTTTCTAAAATTTTGATGTAAAAATATAGTAGTTCAATTTAGAAAAAATATTAGTAAATGAGACCAACTTAGAGTTTAGAAATTTTTTAATGTAAAGAAATCTGAAAATATGAGTTTCTATCTAGTTCAGAAATATTGTAGATTCTCCAAATATAGAGTTTAGGCATTCTATCATCTGCACTTAAAAATTTTTATGAGGCATAATTTTACTTACTATATTATATCCTTAAGCTTAAGAGTTTCTCAAGTCTTATAATTTAAAAAGATCAAATGTAGAACAAATTTTTGATTAGGCACTAATTCTCAAGCTTCTCCTCTCTTTTTCAACTTTTCTTTTCTCTTCCTTTTCTTCTCTTCTTTTTTTTCTTTTTCCTCTTTTCTTTTTTTTTCTTTTCTTCTTCTTTTTTTTTTTCAAGCAAGAATTGCTACATCTGAATAGACCTTTAATGATTTTAAATTCCACTCATCCTTTCCCAAAGTAAAGAGTTTAAATGTTTCTTTTACTTAAAAACATAATAATATTTTTTTTAAAATTACATTCAATAAAAGAAATTTAAGTTTTGAAAATAAAAGTCTAATTCTTCTATATTTTTTAAAAATACAATTTCTCCTATTAAAGATAGTTACACTATATTTATCATTTTCACACTAAAAATCTTTAACTTTAAGTTTTTCTTCATTACTATAAATTAAGGATTTCAAAAAAAATTTATAAGGATTTCCATAACTAAGAATTTCCAAAAAAAATTTTAACTTCAAGTTTTTTATAAGGATTTCCAAAAAAAATTTCATTACTATAAAAATGTTTATCGTTAACTTTATAAGGATTTCCAAAAATTTTGTAAATTGTTTGTCTTTATTCTTCTGCTTCAATCGCTGAGGAAACGGAGGTAATGATTTTTCTAAGGGAAATTGTATTTCTTCATTTTCATTATGGTCACTTTAAATCTCTTCCTTCTCCTCATCAACTTCAATTTCTCTTTGGATTCTTGTTTCAACTTCTTTCCACTTCGTAATTGAATAACTTTAATTTGCTCCTTATTTTCATCTTTTGGATTAATTTCTACAGTACTCGAAAGATTTCCTAAATGTCTGTTACTAAATACGGTAACATTATGTCCTAATTGATTTTCAATATTTCTAATAGCTGCCCCTTAATTTTGTATTTGATTTCTCATATTCAACATTACTTCTTCCATCGTCAACTTCTTTTCATTACCTTGTGGGACCTTGTGTTTCATTACCTTGTGGGTTAGGGTTAGAGTTAAATCCAGAAGGATAATAAGGTTGATAATTAGGATTTTCTTGATTGTTTAAATTTCCTAAGGGGTTGATTGAATTGTTATAATTATTTCAAATAAAATTATGGTAATTTTTCTATCCAGGGTTGTAATAGTTAGAATATGGATTGTTATTTTGATTATTTATAGCATTTAAAGTTTCATAAGATGATTAAGTATCAATTATTTTTCATAGTGAATTTTCCTCTAATATTGGTGGCATTTAAGAATAGTTCACTTCCATTTGATTAATTAATTTGATCAATCTTATTTGATCAATCTTTTTTGATATAGCAGCAATTTCAGATGCTAAAATAGATATTGCATTGGAGTTATGAATACTAGCTATTCTCTTAGGATTTACCCGTTCAGAGGGTCATTAAAAATAATTAGTAGTCATTTCTTCTATTAAAGAGTATGTTTCATCAAAAAGTTTTGACATCAGTGAGTTTTGACAAGCAGCATCTATAATAGATCTAAGTGATCCTACTAATACATTGTAAAAAGTTTGACATATTAACCAATCTGGTAAAGCATGGTGTGGACATTTTCTAAGGAGATCCTTAAATCTTTCTCAGGCTTCATATATTGATTCCCCTTCAAACTGACGAAAAGATGTAATATCATTTAGTGGTTTTAGAGGGTGGAAAATATTTAGCCAATAATTTTTGTGATAGTTCTCCCCAAGTTCTGATAGATCCAGGAGCTAATGAGTTTAACCAAGC